TCTAAGGACAGCATCACAGATCATGGTCTTTGGCTAGTATTACAACACACCTCATCCACAGACAAGCGCACTCCTCCCAATTAAGACATTCAAGATGATCTATTGGTATTCAGAGGATGAGTCTACATACCCAAGGACACCAAACTACAACAGGATCTCATCCAGGAAGCCCATGATTCCCCTACCACAGGATATCCTGGACAATACAAAACACAAGAGATCCTCCAAAGAACCTATTGGTGGCCCAACCTTGCCCGTGATGTTAGTGAATATGTCACTGGTTGTGCAATTTGCCAAGAAAACAAGGTCATCACACACAGGAACTCACCAGATCTAGTACCCATCTCAACGGAACACCACCTTCCATTTCAATCTATTGCCATGGACTTCATCATGGATCTTCCTCGGAGCGATGGTTTTGACAGCTGTCTAGTGGTAACTGATCATAACTATACCAAGGCTTCGGTATTCATACCCAGCAACAAAACAGTTACGGCATCAGAAATTGCCACCCTGTATCAGAACCATGTCTTCTGACAATTTGGATTACCTGTCAAAGCTATTTCCGACAGAGGACCACAGTTTGCATCATGAATGTTCAGGGAACTATGCACTGAATTAGGTATCTAACAGAACCTCTCTAGCATGTTTCACCCTCAAACTGATGGACAGTCAGAACACATCAACCAAGATCTGGAATTATATCTTTGGATCTTTTGCAATCATCAAGCAACAGACTGGACACATCATCTGCCACTAGCAGAATTTGTGCATAACAATAGATATCATGATGCAATCAAGACGTCCCCCTTCCAAGTGCTCATGGGTTACCAACCTCAGCATAATATTCCCACTGTGGGAACAACTGATGCTCTGGACATTGCTTCTAGGCTCACCCAACTAGCACATCTTCGCACTGAAATCCAATCCAGTATTCAACTAGCAGAAGAAACAGTCAAGAAATGAAATAAGGACAACTTTGTTGAATATTCACCTGGACAGAAGATATGGTTGGAAGCAACCAATCTCAAAGGTCTCCATCCCAAGGCGAAACTCAGACCAAAATGTTATGGACCCTTCACCATTGATCAGAAACTGTCACCGATAGTTTATTGGCTGAAATTACTGCCCAAATGGAAGATTTATCCTGTGTTCCATGCCGGATTACTCTACCCTTATTTGGAGACAACAATGCATAGAAAGAACTATCTCCAACCACCACTGGAACTCATCAAGAACCAGGAGGAGTTTGAAATTGAACATATCATTGATTCAAAGACAGTTGGCAAGCAAACACTGTACCAAGTACAATGGAAAGGATACCCAGCCTTGGACAATTCCTGGTTGCCAAAAGCTGAACTTTCACATGCCAAAGACGCTTTAGCAGACTTCTTGCAGCCAAACAAGGGGTAACTCTTTATAAGAACCAGTTCCATCCACTCCCTTCAAATGGCGTCCACAACCGTCCTCATCACTCTCCTCATCATCAGCTGGTTCCTCATCACCCTCCTTGTCCTCCTCTTCATCTTCACTGTCTTCTTGCTTAAGGAGACCTACACCATCAGGTTCCACCTCGACCACAACCCCACCCCTGTCTCTACAACCCCAGTCAATGAACAAACAAGCCCTTAACTGGGCAAACAACGGAACACAAGTAACGTCCCTTGCAGAACTCACTCCCACCCCCTTTACTGACCTACTCAGTGGTGAACCAAGTTGCTCTCCCCACTGCCATCACCCTTGCCATTGTCCATGACCATCCCCACCTCCTTCGCCTTGCCCTTCTGGGCTTCTTCCTAACCACCCTCCTCTCCGTCCTCGCCCTCGCCCTCATTGTCCCCCTCACCCTTGGTCTCACAATCCGGCACCTCAAACGGGAACACCAGTGGGTGTACAACATTGCTGCAACAGCCCAGTGCCCCCTCCCCCATACCACCACCCCTCTCCCCGTCATAGCTGCCAACTGCAACAGCAACAACCCAACACAGGTGTACTTTGAGTACATCAGGGAACATCAAGATTAGTGACTGGGGTTTAACTTTGTCTGTAGTAGCTGCCTGTATCTGTATTCTGGGTCTTGTTTTTTCAAGAAAAATCCTCTTTTGGCTTTCCCCCATGCCTGCTGAGTGAAACACCCGTGCCAGAAACAACAATGCGACTCAAAATTCTTCGCAGTGTCCTCTGGCTCCTTCTAGGCACAACAATACTCCAACATCTGGGCCCCAAAGAGTGCCAACCCCTTATCCTTCCCACCTCCAGGCGTTAGAAGAATGTTCCACTGCTGGGATAATGGAAATGCCGACTCCTATTTGGCCTATCCTAAGCTTCCCTTCTCAACAAGAGTCTGATGACTCTTCAATGGAATTTCTTAGTGAAGAAGGCTTCCGCTACCCGTTTGCACCGCTGCCAAACATCACCCACCATCCTTTCCTTATTCCAGGTCCCTAGGATTCCTTCAATAACAATGCTGTAGTCTTACATCAATTCCCGGGACCCCTGGAGCTCTCCCACAATACTTCAGAAGCAACCTCTGGATCCTACCATGTTGTACCAGCACAGGTCTTTCCACCCCTGTTGTCTATAATTGACTTATCCTCCCAAAACCCCGACAGTCCCATCGCCACATCTATGGACTCCCCCAGTATGCCACCTCTTGCCTCTGATGTCTCCAGTAATGGGAGCCTTGACCATGCTCCCAATCTCTAACTACTAGCCAATGTCAGTGAGTATGTTACAGCATCTGAGGGATACAGCGACAACCCGCAGCAATTCCTAGTCTATAGCAACGACATGATCCAATGTCCCTCTAATGATATTACCCAGGCCTGGTGATCCATTCCTTTCAATACATCCACTCCTATTCAGGATGTCGGTCCCCTGGAGCGTGTGCTACCTCACTTTCCTGGAGCCTATGTGCACTCTGTCATACAACCTCCTATGGGTGTTCCCATTAATGGCAATCCAGTGTTCGGACTATGGAGAGTATCAGTAACTACAGCTGATGCACTTCATACTGCTGAGCCGGTGGGGAACTGGAATTCTTTGGATCTGGACTGGGAGGAGGATACTTGGGAGTATCTGCTGACGCGGGATGACAACTTGTTGGAGAGTCTCTGGGCATCCTTACAAGATATTCAGGATCCAGGCATGATCAATGAAGTCAATTGTTTCAGGGCCATTGATGCCAAAATCAACCTATTCCTTGCTGCATGATGATCTATAGGTGAGGAACTCCTTCACACGGAAGAAGAAATGAGTCAGTGCCGGACTCGTCTCAAAGCTGCTAACTTAGAAGAGTGACTCGACTACCACAAGTTTTCCATCATTTCTCTCTCTTCCAGTGCTATACCTCATTGCCTTTGTTTTTGTGTTAAATGTGAAACTGATGGTCATCTGCAAAGTGAGTGTTGGCATTGGTTGTGCTTGTCTTGTGGATTACTCTATCCTCAACACAAATTCCACACTATCGCCAATGTTTGCCCAGGGAAAACTGTCTGCTCCATAGAGGAACCAAGATATCTCATTGAACAACGGGAGCAACAATAACTGTAATGACAAATCTGGAGAGGGGGGTAATGTTACAGCTTGAGGGGGGTTTCTTTTCATTTCCTAACTATTCATTGTTAACCCTGTACTATACAACTGATCCCATCACTTGATGTGTTTCACCTACATCAGTGTTTCATATTTATCACATTTCACCTATATCATATTCTAGCTACATCATGTTTCATCTCCATAGCATTTCATCTTCATCACTGATACAACCCAGTGAAACTTGTTTCATGTACATC